ATTAAAGCAAATTGAAAAATTAAAACGGTTTTTTGACCGATTAAGGAAAAGACGTGGATTTTCAGACGACATTCGATAAAGTGTCTAAAAATTATGTTACCCGTGTAAATTTGCTTATGGACATATAAGAAAATATAAAACTATGGACAGTAAAGTACATAAAGCGTTTTGTTTAGATGGGAATGGGGTTGTAAAACGTGCACTTGAAGGGTCAGTACTGGATCCATTTTTATTCTATAAATACATAGATTATTTAGATTTATGAATTGATAGAACAATATTAAGATTTGCTGATTGCAAAGTAAGGACTGTCACACATGAACAGAATTACAAAAAGCTTCAAGGTGATGTAGACAGATTGATAAGTGAGAAGTCAGGTAGAAGTTATAAGTTAATGTAGAAGCTATGTGCTGAATTGTATGATATTTTGTCTGTGAAAAGTACATTGAGTTTTTTTGGAGGGATTTTCATTGCGAGGCCTAGCAAAATTCTCACCGTATCTTACCAAACTAGTCTCAATAATTGCCTAACCTGCCCAATGTTGTCTCTCTTGTCCAATTCTAGTCCCATCTTATAATGTGCCAATCCTGAAACAACTCGGCACTCAGTCGATATTTGCCAAAAGACTAGCATCCCTGGAATCTGCATCACCTTTAAAAGGCCACTGTTCACTCAGCACTGGCATTCTGAAGCTGCCCTACTTGGTGACAGATGTTCAGTCAGAAGGTGTCGTTGTGTTTATTTCTCCAACAGGGACCCAGGGTGGCACAAAGGAGGGCATCCTCTTCCTGGAGGATTGGTAGAGGAGGCTATGCCATCAGATCCTGGCAGCCTGGCCCAAGGTTGCCATCTGGGTCAGTTTCCATGGCATGGAAGAACAGGCAATAGCGCCACATGATGATCAATGATGCTGTTTGCTCTGCCAGGATAAGTGCCACACTCTTTTTTCTACTACCTCACCTTCACCATCCTTGCCACTGCACCCACCTCCCAAAATAGCTCATGTTCTACAAATCTCACTATTACATGCAACATCTTCCCTCACTCGATCACATTACACCCTAGCCTCCCACATGGCCTCTACCATTAAGCTGTATGGCCTCCATACTCGCCTGGGGCCCTCTGACCACATTTCTACCACTGATGCCAACACTAACATTTGTGCCAACTCACTTTCATCTCACTCAATCCCTGCTTGTCTCTCAACCCAAGAGAAAATAGCCCAAAATGGAGCAGCAAGGGCCCAGATGGGTGAAGGTGTACCCAAAATTAGGCTCCTCACCTGCCTTGAATCATAGCAGAATCATCAAATTCCTACAATTCAATTCAATGGAAAGAGGCCATTTGGCCCATCAAGTCTTCACTGAACCTCCAAAGAGCATCCCAACCAGACCTAGCCTCTACCCTATTTCGGTAACCCCTCACTTAATCCACCTAAGCTGCACATCTTTGGAGGAACCTGTAATTTTTTCCTTTTCAAATTTTCTCCTAAGAGAAGAAAATCCTGGCTCTCGCAGGAAAAGATCAGAATCAAGACATACTTGTTCCACCAACTGAGTGAGCACCACTTTTCATTCCACTGCATCTCTCACCCTGCTGTTAGTTTCATTCATTGCATTTCACTTCTAACCACTGGCCCGATGCCTTCTCTCTATTGTGTCTTCCAGGTACAGCTGGGCTATCCATGGCCTGCTCTGCCAGATTTCTGAGGATGAGAGTACCGAGGCCTCAGAGGAAGCATTAGCAAAGCTACTTTCTGCACTTCCCACCAGCCAAGTTACTGACTCCGCGATAGGAACATAACATTTAGAAAGTTTGGGAGCATTGATTGGTGAGTACTTCAGTGCAGCAGCTTCTCAGTTGGATGAGAAAGAAACAACAAGGCAGTTGGTACTTGGAGGACTGTCAGATACCACTGCCTGGTCAGGCCCAGGCAAGAGAGGAGCCTGTGGTGTTGCATTCAGAGGCTTCATCCACATGCACAGGGAAGAACAGGAGTGACAGGCAGCTATGTTAGAGGCAATGATCCTGATACTCCAGAGGCTACAGGACTGCAGCTATGTCATTGGGGCAAAGCTGCATTAAGAATGCAATTGTCTTCATGGACAGGTTGAAACTGCAGTGTGGAGCTAAGTCCAGCACCCTCAGGATCTGTTGGATACATGCAGGTGCCTGTGTGCCATTGCTCTAGCCATTGGTCCTCAGGTCTTCTCCTCTTTTCCATAAGGACCCTCACCAACTTTTACAGATGCACTATAGAAAACATACTATTGAGATGCTTAACGGCCTGGTACAGCAACTGCTCTGCCCAGGACCTTAAGAAACTACAGAAAGTTGGGTGCACAGCCCAGACCATGACGGAAGCCAACCTTCCAATCATGGACTTCATTTACACTTCTCGTTGCTGCGGAAAGGCGGCCAACATCATTAGCCTCCCAGCCTGGTGATGCTCTCTTCCAACCTCCTCTGTCAGGGAGAAGATAACAGAAGCTTGAATGCACCCACCAATAGGTTCAAGGACAGTTTCTTCCCTGCTGTTATTAGACTGATGAAAGAAATCTCCTACTTCAAATAATGCCGAACTTGCTAATGCTGACCTTGCTTTGCGCACGCCCTGTGCAGCCATAACCTTGCATGCTTCGCTGTGTCTAAGTACTCTGCGATCTGTATGTTGTTGTTTGCTATGATCTGCCTGTACTGTTCGCAAACAAAGCTTTTCACTGTACTTAGGTACACGTGACAACAATAAACCAAATCAAATCAAAAGAAAGTGCTCCTGGGATAGGCTGACCAAATGTTCAGGGTTGCTGGGCTGCACTGCTGAGCAGGCTCCCTCCACCCCAGCTGCAGGGCCTGGGACAACATTAAGACGAATTAGGAGGGAAAGAAAGATAAAACTTTTTGAGTGACCTTTGGATGGATGGGATGCTCTTTGGAGGGTCAATGCAGACTCATTGGGCTGGATGGTCTCTATTTGCACTGTAGGATTCTACAATTCTATTGACCACCATGGTCAAACATCCTTACTCTTTGCCTGACCTCTGTGTCCAAAAGTGCTGGTGTGAATGAAGCAGTCACTAATGTTTGAGGCAAGGTGGTGTATAGGAAACAGGAAACCAATACCTTAGGATTGCCAGGAATTAGTTGTCCTGCAGGTCTGTGTCCTCCATGAAAATATGATTTACTTCTTGCTTTGCTGTATGTAAACAATTTTCTGCTGATTTATCAACTTTTCTGCTTTCTTCCCTGTAGCTGAACATCACAAATCATCTTTACAAAATGCAAATTGAAATGAATGTCAGAAGGGAGAAAATCCACTGCTGGATTTTTGTGGAAGCTTTTACTGAGGTCAGAATGAACATCATTCCTTTGCCACTAATGGCAACATCTAAGCAATTAATATCTCCTTATTTTCCAGGGCCAAATTTTGCTTGGCAATGAGACTCCTTATTCTGACACAAAGTTCCCTTGGTTCTGAACTCCACAATCATGAAAAATGTTTGAGCGGCAGTCAATGCTGCTTTTGTAGCACCGTATTTGACTGAGTAATTCAACACTAGAGGAGTACTTAATTCATGTCCTCCCATTACAGTATACACACTGTAAATCCACCTAGGATTTGGCAGAGATAAATGTTACTCTGCCACAAACATAAACTGTCACTTCGGGACTCAGAAATTTTGGAGCCTTTAAAATTGCATTTAACATAAGTTGTCATGATAACTCTGAGGGTTGAATTGAATTAAGTAATACAAAACTGATAAAGATGTAGACAATCCTTTAATACATTTTGGGCTTAGTAATACTATATCTGAAGTGCTTAAGATTTAAATAAAAATCAGTCTTCTTACAGCAGGGCAACCAGAATTGTATGCAGTATTCTAAAAGTGGCCTAATCATTGTCCTGTATAGCTGCAACATAACTTCTCAACTCATATGCTCAATGCACTGACCAATGAAGGCAAGCATGCCAAACACCTTTTTTGCTATCCTGTCTATCTGTGGCTCCACTTTGAAGGAACTATGCACTGGCACTCCTGGGTCACTTTGCTTGGCAACACTCCCCCAGAGCCCTACATTTAAGTATATAAGTCCTGTCCTGATTAAACTTACCAAAATGCAACACCTCACATTTATCTAGATTAAACTCCATCTGCCACTCCTCGGCCCATTGGCCCATCTGGTCAAGGTCCTGTTGTTCTCTGAGATAACCTTCTTCACTGTTCACTGTACCACTTATTTTGGTGCCACCTTAAAAATTATTAACCATTCTTCCCATATTCACATCCAAATCTTTTATATAAATGATTAAAAATGCTAGACATGCCAAAGGGGTTGACAAAGTAGATGTGGAGAGGATATTTCCTCTCATGGGACAACCTAGAATGAGAGGTTCTGAGGAAGGGTCACTAGACCCGAAACATTAACTCTGATTTTTTTCTTCAAAGGTGCTGCCAGATCTGCTGAGCTTTTCCAGCAACTTCAGTTTTTGTTCCTGATTTACAGCATCGGCAGTTCTTTCCATTTTTATCTAGAATGAGAGGTCATCGTTTTAGAATAAGAGGGTGCAAATTTAAAACTGAGATGAGGAGAAATGAAATTTATCAAAGAGTTATGAAATTCACTATCCCAGAGGTTGGTGGGTGTTGAGACATTAAGCAAATAATTGTAAATCTTTTACATTGAATCTGTGATCCTATTCTGAACTTTCAAATGGTTATTCATGATTGTGGGGTAACAGGGTAATTCATATAGAATGGTAATATTTTCCATGCCACTCATCGTACTGACATGAAGAGGTTAAATGTTTCTGGCGATTAAGTTATTTTGAAGCTCACTTTAGGAGTATGTGTGAGAATATTTTCATCTTCATTTCAGAGCATAAAAATGCATGGTCCACCTTAAAAAGAATATCAGAAGTTCCACAGTCTGGGTATTAGATTTAAAACATGCTGCATATTTTTATGTCAGATCATAAATGCTTCTGGATTCAGGCTTGGAAACATCTGTTAGCCAAATGTTACATCCCATATAAAATGGTGGAAGCAGCAAAGTCTGAGCCAGTACATCCAGACTGCAGAAATGCATCCCAAATGTGCTCACTTGCTTATAGTCCTGATCATTGTGGTTCATGGTCAGAATTATCCGCCACCTGAAGTGCAATGGGTCAATCTTTATAGGCAAGGTTTTAACTTCCAGTGTCATCCAGGGGAAGCTTTGGTCTCAATACAAAGTTACTATGACAAATCAGAAGGTTCTGACAGAGTCTGGAGTTTCGAATGCATGCCAACGCCTCAGGGTATGGGAGAGGCGACAGAATGCTGGTGGGATGACACTCAACAAGCTGGACTTGAATGGTAGGTCACAAGGTGTATTGTTAATGTTTTGCTCTCCTCTACACAACCTCTGTTTAATTTTTCCTGTTATGTTTATTAAAGTATGCTTTAAAATGATCAAATAGTTCTTAGACCGTTGTGCATGAATAGGGACGCAGGTCAGTTATTCGACTGAATATAACTGATGAATTTTAAATGAGAAGCAGGTAGCATGTCAGCTTTGAATTTCCTGTGATTAAATATTCTTTCAAAATACAATGCAAATCAAATGTTAGTGCTAGAGTCGTGTGCCCTATGCTTAACGGATCTTAGTAAGTTTGTTCTTGCTTTGTGATCCAATATTATGCAAGTAGATTGAAAACAACTTACAGAACACATCAGTACCTGCCAATACTGGAACATTTGAAGTACATTCATCCTTTCTGACCCCAACATTTAAGGAATTTTCATTTTTAGTGAGAGATTTCACATTTATGGACATTTTCAATGGTTTGAATATTAACTAGGCTAAAATGCGTATACATGAACAATCCTTATGTACTTTTCCCTTTCTTTCGCATCCATTTTTCTCCTTGTACTGTTCCTACCCTGACCACATCTTACTCTATAGTGGACTCTACCAAACCTAGGAACCCTGTGCTATCAAACTCAAGTGGCTGTTGGTTATGAGTGGAGCCAAACTGATTTTCTTTGATGCTTTCAGCCTTGAATATTTTTTGAGGGCTGATTTGAACACTGAAGGGGCAAAGATGGATATTGTGATTCAGTATCTTGGGAATGCCTTTTTGTATATTGGACCATCACGATTTGTACGAATTTATTTGGCTGAGTTTGGTGGAAACCCAAAGAGGGAAGGAAGAAATAAAAGATTTTATGCTCAGAAACATGAGGAAAGATAATGGAAAGAATAAAGAGGATTGTAAAGAAATGTTAAATGACAGACAGAGCAGAATTACAGATACAGATAGCAATTCACAAAGACACAAAGGAATTCAATGAGAAAGAGAGATCAATCTGTAAAGGCAATCTACGTTTTGTTATTCACAATTTTGTGCTGTAATTGTACATTTAAAGTCACAAGTATATAACCATTTTATGTAGAAATATATAGTCTACACAGAGAAGATAGAGAGTGATACTCTGTTGCATCTTTTTTGTATTTTGCCGTCTTGTGCTATTACAGCCATTTCTTTTACTTGAAGGTTTTGATGAGGTACGATTGTCTTACTTTGTTGTTAATTCACAATATTGTGTTAAAGATTTACTTTAAGTGCCTGGTTTGTGCAGCAGTAGGCGCTGTGATGCCAATGAAGGGCCAATTTCATTCTAATGTGCTTTAGGGAAGGAAATCTGTTGTCCTTATCAAGTCTGGCCTACACCTGACTCGAAAACTGCAGCAATGTAATTGATGCAATTAAGGATGAGCAACACATGCAGGCCTTGCTGGCAATGCCTACAGCCAATGAAAGGATGATGAAATTCTGATAGGAAAATGCTGACAGATGCCTTTAATAAGATGCTTTTGGCAGTCCAAAACTGGACCCACTGTTGGTCAAATTCCTCGTGAGCGGGACATTCTAGGAGAGCCAGGATGCTGGCTCCCACCAATTTTACCCCAACACCACTGTGATGTATTTCATGAAGACCAGCAGAATTCCTATCTTTGAAAATCCTGCATTCTGCTGATAATCCAGATTTAACTCTGATTAAGACTACCACCGCTGAAATAATGAGACTGACTTAATCAATTGATGAACAAATTCAGAAGCCAAAGTAACCTTATATGTATTAATATTTATTTCAAAGCACTGCTGTTTTTTTGTTCATTTGACTCCATCTTATAATGTTAACTTGTGAAGCATGAGCTAAAACTGTGGCACAATCAACCTAAGTAATATAATAATAACTCCTATTAGAAACAAAATCCAGATTATTCATGTTACAATATTCAGTTTTCTTTTCTATCTCTATCATTTTTACAGTTCTGTTTCATTCCACAAATCTCCACTCTACCCCCAAGGCTCCCCCAACCCCATTAGATATGAATGTAGATGATCTGTGTCCAGACCACAAGACTGGGAAATGGATGAGAGCACCCCAGGTCCCTGTTGTAAAGTGTATGTGGCTATCTTCATAGCCTGAATAAATAAGCTCATTGGGATAAATTATAAGGAGAAATGGATTCCCTCCTTCCACAACCAGCTAAATGCCCATCAGCAATTCACTGACCAGAAATCTGACTGACCTAAAGTGATAACACACTAGGGGTAGCCTTAATAGGGTGAGGATGGGACTTCTGCCCCCCAGGGACAGGAGGTCCCACCCTTGCACACTGCCAACCAATCTGATTGGCTAGCAGGTCTACCGTACTAATAACAACAGAAGAAAGCAGAGTTCATTGTTGGGACAATGGACAGTTCCTAGGAATTCTGAGGTAGCATGACCAGGAGACTCCAGAAAAGGTAGGGAGTTGGGAGTGTGGGTTAGAGATTCTTGGGGAGGAGGGTGTGGGGAAAGATAAAGGGAGTTATCCAGCTTGGAAGTGTTGTCCTGATGGCAAAGGAGTCTTCCTTTCACTGCATGGGCTTTTAGCCTCCATTTTTGTTTGTTGCACAAGTTGGCTGTAGGGGACTGCAATGGGCTGGCTGACATCCCACGTTATTGTACGTGTACCCCCAGACCCCGCCTTTCAAATATACCAGCAGGAGACCATTACGTTCACCCCCAACGTATGGAAGATCTCAGAGATAATGCAGCATCCATATGCCATGCATTGATACACCAACATTTGCAACCACTTTCCTCAGAAGTGCAATATTTTATAGTGTATATTTTAAAAGAATGGGTGATTTTGATGTCAAATTCAACTAAAATTTGTACAGCTGTAAACAGGTTAGGAGTTGTAATTCTGCTTTTGACAACATTAATTATTCTAGTAGCATTCAATCTCTTGCATATCATTTGAAAAAAAATGTTTAAGAAATTCATATTATTTTTGAGGAATCCATCTGAGAAACTCAACTTAAGCTCCAGGTCAGCATTCATTATCTACATTCTGTCACTCAAATGACATCTGGAAAATTGGTCAAACTTCACCTGTGTGCAGATCTATATCTCTGTCTCGTTCATTGACTCAGTCATTGTTGCCACAGTCTCAATTTTCCCATGGATATTAAGACCAGAATGTGAATGAGTAAGAGCCTATTCCAGTTGGGGTTCATTTATTTTCCTGTTTTTAACTTCAATTCCATCCACCTCCCTGACTGTCATCTCAAACTGACCTAAGAAGTGCAATGTAATCCCTTGCTTGATATGAAATCAGTTTCCTCATCTAAATCCAGTTTGTTACAAAATCTGAGATAGTAGGAACTGCAGATGCTGGAGAATCTGAGATAACAAGGTGTAGAGCTGGATGAACACAGCAGGCCAAGCAGCATCAGAGGAGCAGGAAAGCTGACGTTTCGGGCCTAGACCCTTCTTCAGAAATGGGGAAGGGGATTCTGAAATAAATAGGGAGGGGGGAGGCAGATAGAAGGTGGATAAAGGAGAAGATAGGTGGAGAGGAAACAGACAGGTCAAGGAGGCAGGAATGGAGCCAGTAAGGATCAGTGGAGGTGGGGAGTTAGGGAGGGGATAGGTCAGTCCAGGGAGGATGGACAGGTCAAGGAGGCGGGATGAGGCTGGTAGGTAGGAGATGGGGGTGGGACTTGAGGTGGGAGGAGGGGATAGGTGGGAGGAAGGACAGGTTAGGGTGGCAGGGACGAGCTGGGCTGGTTCTGGGATGCGGTCAGGGGCGGGGAGATTTTGAAGCTTGTGAAATCCACATTGATACCATTGGGCTGCAGGGTTCCCAAGCGAAATATGAGTTGCTGTTCCTGCAACCTTCAGGTGGCATCAGTGTGGCACTGCAGGAGGCTCAGGATGGACATGTCGTCCAAGGAGTGGGAGGGAGAGTTGAAATGGTTCGCGACTGGGAGGTGCAGTCGTTTGTCGCGAATCGAGCATAGGTGTTCCACAAAGTAGTCCCCAAGCCTCTGCTTGGTTTCCCCGATGTAGAGGAGGCCACATCGGGAACAGTGGATACAGTATGCCACATTAGCAGATGTGCAGGTGAACATCTGTTCGATGTGGAAGGTCTTCTTGGGGCCTGGGATGGGGGTGACGGGGGAGGTGTAGGGGCAGGTGTAGCACTTCCTGCGGTTGCAGGGAAAAGTGCCGGGGGTGGTAGGAGTGGTGGGGAGTGTGGAGCGGACAAGGGAGTCATGGAGAGAGTGGTCCCTCCGGAAAGCAGATAAGGGTGGGGAGGGAAAAATGTCTTTGGTAGTGGAGTCAGATTACAGATTGCAGAAGTGTCGGAGGATGCTGCGTTGGATCTGGAGGTTGGTGGGGTGGTACGTGAGGACAAGGGGGATTCTGTTTTGGTTGTTATTGCGAAGAGGGGTGAACTTAAGGTTGGAATGGAAGGTGTTAGTGAAGTGGATGAACTGTTCGAGCTCGTTGTGGGAGCATGAGGTGGCGCCAATACAGTCGTCGATGTAACGGAGGAAGAGGTGGAGGATAGGGCCAGTGTAACTTTGGAAGAGGGATTGTTCCACGTATCCTACAAAGAGGCAGGCATAGCTTGGGCTCATGGGGGTACCCACGACCACCGCTTTGTCTGTAGGAAGTGGGAGGAATTGAAGGAGAAGTTGTTAAGGGTGAGGACGAGTTCAGCTAAGCGGATGAGGGTGTCAGTGGAGGCGGACTGGTCGGGCCTGCGGGAGAGGAAGAAGCGGGTGGCCTTTAGGTCACCTGCATGGGGAATGCAAGTGTATTGGGATTGGACGTTCATGGTAAAGATGAGGTGTTGGAGACCAGGGAATCGGAAGTTTTGGAGGAGGTGGAGGGCTTGGGTGGTGTCATGGACATAGGTCGGGAGTTCCTGGACCAAGGGGGAGAAAATGGAGTTGAGATAATTGGAGATAAGTTCGGTGGGGCAGGAGCAGGCGGAGACAATGGGTTGACCAGGGCAGTCAGGTTTG